TGAATGCATACATTTCTTCTTGAAAATTGTCAACAAAAATATTAAACACTTTATTTACTAGAATGTTTATTTACAAGAATAATTTTATATTTACAATATTCTAAAAGACTAACACGATTAAAACTAATGCAGTGGTCTTAAATTTTTGATCAGCAGTGTATAGAGAAAGCAACCCATTCTATTCTAACCTCTATTGGGCACCTCGGCGTGGTGTAATGCTTAGCAAGCTTGTCTCGCTAGAACATATTACGACTGAGTAGCGAGTTCAATCCTCACTGGGTGCTCCATACATCCGGCCTTGTGCCACATCTAAGCAGCGCTTAGAAAATCATTAGATGCATGCTCATTGACCCCTTTTATTTCTGTCCCTATTTTTCTTTTGTTTAATTCCCCATCCCCTTCCTCGTTAGGTGGTCAGTGATGTCAGTTTTCTGGTGGATGCGGGGCGCCTTTCGTTTCGGGTGTGTGTTTTCGTATTTGTTGTTGTGTATGAATGAGTGAGTGTTTGTGTGAATGCTTGATGGTTTGAATGTGTACTCTTTTCTTAGTCCCGCATCGATTTCGGCCGGTTAACTGATATTTCTGCCACATTCATAGTTAAAAGGGGGTTTTATTACTAACTCAGTTTTGTTTTAGTTTTATTGTATATAATTAATTCATTTTGTAAATACTATTTTGGGTATTTTTTAAAGTTGTTATTTTATGACCTCCCCCATGAACAATATTTGTATATATTTTCGTATAGTTAGGACGTCATAGAGAAACTGAGGTATTATGGTGGACGTAGTAAGAAAGGTAGGAGTGAATGTGTTGTTCTGGTGATTGGATTATTGTTGGCATGTTTGGGTCAGTGTCTGCGACTAGCTAAGTTTAGATTTAAGACAGATGAAGACCGTCATTCCCCATCCCCCTTTTGGCCGTGTGCCACATTTTGTATTTTTAATACAAATAAATATTGTCAGTGATGTCAGTTCTCTGGTTGTTGTGGGAAGACTTTCGTTTCGTGTGTGTGTTTTCGTATTTGTTATTGTGTCTAAATGAGTGCGTGTTTGGGTTTTTTTTATAATGTTATAATCCCGCAATTATTTCGTCCTGTTAACTAATGTTTCTGCCACATTTAGAGATTGTGGATTTCTTTATTACTAACCCTATTTTGTTTTGTTTTATGTAAATATTATTAAATCATATTGTAAATAATCATTGGGATTTTTAAATTGTTATTTCCCGCCCCCACAGACTTTGAAATGTACATATGGGGACTAGTTAGAATTTCATAGAGACATTGAGGTATTATGGTGGACGCAGTAAGAAAGGCAGGAGTGAATGTGTTGTTTTGGTGATAGGACTATTGTTGGTATGTTTGGGTCCGTGTCTGTGACTAGCTAAGTTTAGAATTAAGACAGAACAAGACCGTCCTTCCCCAACCCCCTTTTTTGGTCTTGTGCCACATTTTGTACAGTAGTACAATTAAATAACTAACTTCTATTTTGTTGTTATTATCAGCTATATTAACAGAACCAATTTTCCTCAACTTACATGAATCATGTAAAAATGACTTTTTTTTTTTTCAATATAATCCTATTTAAAATTACCAACCCATAGCATTTATCCGACTTGGTGATGGAGAGATCACTTTTAGGATTTAAAGACTTAATAACCTGAAAGCGAACACTGTCAAGCAAGAAAATAAGAATCTGCAGAAAGGGAAAATATTCACTCGACAGTTGGAGTAATCCAATTTTACACAGAGAAAACTTGTCAGGTAAGGAAGGTTTATGGAAATTTAACTGAGAGAATAATACTTTGAACATATATCTGATTCTTTCACTTTAGAGGGGGGATACAAAAATCTAACCCTCGAGAAAGAACAAGCCGTTCTATCTCTGTAAGATAGGCATTTAATTTCTCCAACATCTTGTGTCTGTCCTGTGTATGACGATAAACTACATCCAGCAGCAAGGCCTCTGATCAGGAGATTTTGAGTAGCGTGGAACAACCTCTTAATTGCTGGTGTTCCCAGGTTCACCTTGACCCGGGATGGTAGCACCTGTTAGGGTCCCAGCTATGGGCAAATAGTTAACATGTAAAATTATGTAAAAATAGGATTTAATACCAGAAATACTTTGTAATAAAAAATAAAAAATTATCACCAGCAATAATTTTTGAAGGAAAAATTATCAGCAATATTTTAAAAACAATACCAGCAATACAAACTTTGGAAAAAATATGACCAGCTCTCGATTTTTTCAAGGAAAAATATTCCCAGAAATAAATTTTTGAAGGAAAAAAAATTACCAGCAATGAAAATGTTGTCCGCATTAAATAACCCATTGAGATTGATATGCCGTAAAACAAACCAAACATCTGTCTGGATTTTCTTTAACACCAAGTCTTTTGGATTTGAGAAAATTAAGATAACTGATTTTTTTTTTAAATTTCTTACGCTTTTGAAAGTGCAACTTTGATTTTCTATATACAAATAAATATAGTAATGACATTTTTATGTTTATACGTTCTTTTTATAGATACAAATATTTAAGTAAATGCTCTGTTTATAATAAACAGTATTGACAACCTTTACCGGACTGAATGTCCGAGAAATTGTCATAGAAAATATGCGTCCTCCGAGAGGAATCGAACCTGTATCCTATACAGAACCATCATATAGCCTGACGTGCCTTTACTGATTGGGACACAGTGGAGCGTTCGGTTATCAAAGTTCGATTCCTGTCGGAGGACGCATATTTTCTATGAAAATTTCTCGGATATTCAGGCCGGTAAATATTAGTACTGTTTATTATAAACAGAGCATTTACTTAATTATTTGTATCTATAAAAAGAACGTATAAACAAAAAATGTCTTAAAATAATTGTCGGACTTTGTCCATTTCTATATATATATATATATATATATATATATATATATATATATATATAAATAAATAAAACACAGCTTGTTCCCAATATCAGTCAATGATGACATTAGCGTAAGCTTGAGGAATATTCAAACAGTTTACTTGACTGTTGCCTAATAAAAGCCCGTTCAACTGGAGGGCAAGATCCTATGTTTATTCTTAACAGCCTACGTTTGACAGGAGACGGGGCAGCACCACAAGTCAAACATGGCTGGTGAAGATATCGTTTAATTCTCAGGCAGATAAAGCTATCAAGTTTGTCGAGATCGGGGCATCTACAACGGAAATATTTGAACAAGGACTCTACAACACAGAACAAACTGATTTGGGAAAAAAAAAACCGAAGGCATTTTCCTTTTCCTTTATTTCCTAAGAACCATTTTTCTGACAACACTTTTGGAAAGATAACTGTTGGCAAAAATCTGACGAAAGAAAAGGAAAATAAATAAAATTTTGCGAATATTATTCCTGGTTTCATCAGATTTTGTGCTAACGGTTACCCGAAAAGATATATATATATATATATATATAAAAAAAAAACAAAAAAGTAAATTTCCAAGTCTTACGAGAGGCCTCCACTTAAAATTGCCCGAAAGTTTAGTTCGTGGCATATGAACCCCAATAGGTTATTTAATGCAGTTTTTTTTTTTTTTTATTTATTTATTGCTGGTAAGGTTTTAAAAAAATGTATTGCTGGTAATATTTTTTCTTCAAAAATTCATTGCTGTATTAAAACATTTTTACATTTCTATAGTATTTTGGCCTCAGCAGGTGCTACCACCAGGGGTTAGGGTGGAGCTGGGAAGCCCCAGCAATTAAAAGATGCTCTAACGCTCCTCAAAACCTGATCAGAGGCTTGCTGTTGATTGGGTCCGTGTCTGTGACTAGCTAAGTTTAGAATTAAGACAGAAGAGTCCTTCCCCAACCCCCTTTTAGGCCTTGTGCCACATTTTGTACCATTTGTGCAAATAAATATCGATCAGAGGCTTGCTGTTGGACGTTTTGGTTTGATTTATTGTTTGACGGCATATCAACCTCAATGGGTTATTTAATGCTGACAATTTTTTTTTTTTATTGCTGGTAATAGTTAACTATTTACCCATAGCTGGGACCCTAAAAAGGTACTACCACACCGGGGCAGGGTGGACCTGAGAACACCAGCAATTAAGGAGGTGGTTCTACGCTCCTCAAAACTTCCTGATCAGGGGCATTGCTGTTGGACGTAGTTTATTATCTTACCCAGAACGGTTGCCAGAAAGTAAGTAATTTTAGTGTACGGTATATACTAAGACTGCAGGGAGAGCTTTTATGTCAGTTTCATTTATTTTTTAGGGGGGGGGTCAGACTCTACAGAGAATTTTTGGGGCCCGGTGGGGAGGGGTATGAAGGTTAAAATCATGCATTTTCTGTAATCGGCTGAATACACAGCTAACTTTTGCCGAGGGGATTAAAATTCAGAAGAAAAAAAATCTTGGGGTGGGGGAGTCGCACTATACAAGAAATCTGATTATACACGCATATATACGGTAATTATGCGTCTATTCTATGCTATTGATTCAGTGTAAAGCTTATCAAGCATTAAATATTTATAGGACTATGAATTAGGTATATTTACAGTTTCAATTATCCGCTGTGCGTTTTGAAAGAGCAGCGCGGATAAGAGGTCATGCTAAAGATAAAACCAAAGATAGAAAGTTTCAATTCAAAGCGCCTGTAGAGAAACAAAGGTTTACAAGTCAACATCTATTAGGGACTTCAAAAGGCTTTAGTTGGCATTCCACAAAGGGAAAGAAAGGTAAAGAATTACTTTAGTTTCGGAAAGGGACGTCAAATGAAACAAGAATCAGAATCCTTCAGATTCTGAAAGTTCAGCTGTTAGAGTTGAGGATTTTTAAAATGCTTCCGAAAGATTCGTAAACAAACGACTGAGTGATATTCGGCAACAGAATTGTATTTCCCCACCCCCAGTTCAACAGGTCTCGTTAGTATCCACATCTTCGAGATTCTGGGGGTTCATTAGAGAAACGGAAAGCTTTTACGCACGGCCGAACAGTAATATTAGTACAACAAGGTCTCTCTCTAAAGTCAGTCAAGCGATGAAAACTTTGTTAATATCGACAAGAAGAGAGAGAGAAGCTGGAAGATTATTATGAAGGTGACTAAAATGGCGATGTAGATTCCGTTATTCTCGGCCCATTTTGAAATAGCGTTTGCGCAGCTAGTCGGGTAGAAGTTGCCGGCTTTCAGAGCCACTTTCCCGCAGTCGATGGCGTAGAGCGTGCAACAGGAGTCCGGAACAGAAGAATTGCCCAAGTAAGAGAACCATTCCTCGTAGTTATCGACGCCGCAGCACTTCAGTTCTCGCTGAACAGAGTTCCAGGTGGAGCCGGCGAAGTGGTCACTGGTGAATCGAGATTCTGCAAGCCGCAGAGAGTCGCCAATTAAGCTCAACGCGTGAGATCTGGTCAGGAAACCAGCAATTCCCAGAGACAGTTCAATTACGACCAGAACAACTAGAGTGCAGATGTACACAGACAGTAAACAGTGGCTTCGAAGTAGACACTAAGGAGAGCAAGTAATGCCAAAAGGAGAGTAAGGCGCCAAAAGAAAATTGTGAGAGCAGCCGGAGCCCTGAGGTGCTCGTTAAACAGGTGGTAATTACTAACCAAAGAAGCTTGCATTATTGCTCCGATATTTAGCAAAACTATAGATAATATCAAAAAAGTAACGTTAACAAAAACAAGGCAATGTTTCGGCAAACACATGATGCGCGTTGGTTTTTTTTTTTTTTTTCAAGTTTGGGTCTGCGTATCAAATCAATCGATTAAACCCTTCTAGTCATACAACCCAAACTGTTATTTGTCCAAAAATTACACTGTCGTCTAATGGCTCTCCACGAATCTTAGCCAATAGAAAACAAGCATTCACCAAGGAAGACGTTGATTGGTGCATTTAACTCTAATATGCAAATTAAATATTGTTGAAAAATCAAGTCATTCATACTTTTATAATCAGAAATAATAATAATCGGAATTTTTACATCCTGGGGTGTTTTGTAGGCCCCTTAGGAATATGTGGTACATGTAAGATTGCGAGGTGATTGTGTATATTGTATTAAATGAATGGGTCGTAATTGTGGTTAACTAGGAATATAAAAGCTAGTGAAAGACCGGACTTTCCCCACTTCCCCTTCGGCCTTGTACCACAATTTTGTATATTTATACAGAATAAATATACTGGGTTGTGATTGGGATTAATTAGGACTAGGATAGGCAGTGAAAGACCGGCTTTTCCCCTTCGGCCTTGTGCCACAATTTTGTAATATTTAAAAAAAAATATCCATTCCCTTTGGGCCCAAGGGTCACACATTTTGTAATTATGAATATATATATATATATATATATATATATATATATATATATATATATATATATATTTTCATAATCATCAATATTAACAATATTCGAAAGTTTTACATTATGGAGTTTTTAGTAGGTTCTCCTGTGAATATGTGGTATTTTGGCCAATGTAAGATTGGATGAAGTTGGGTAAATGTTCTTGTGGGGAATAAGTAAATTGTAATGAATGAATTTGTCTCAAATCAGATTAGCTAGATTTAGTATAGTCAGTGACCCGTAAAGCTTCACCACATTCCCACTTCAGTCTTATGCCGATATTGTAATCTTAAATACATTTTTTACATTATGGGGCTTTTTAGTAGTTTCTCTGCGAATATGTGATATTTTGGTAAATGTTGGATTGGATGAAGAAAGATGGATTATTGAATGAGTTAATTGTAAGAATGAATTGGTTGTGAATCAGATTAGCTCGGTGTACGACAGTCATTTTGGTTTGTTTTGTTTTGTTTTACAACATATTAACCTCAACGGGTTAATTAATGCCGACAAGATTTTTAGGATTGGTTCGTATGAATAGAATATGTATTCTTTGTACAAAATCAGTTTGTAGATCAGGGTTTGTGTTTATTTTGTTTTACGGAATATCAACCTCAATGGGTTATTTAATGCCGACAATATTTTTAGGATTGGTTCGTATGAATAGAATATGTATTCTTTGTACAAAATCAGTTTGTAGATCAGGGTTTGTGTCTATTTTGTTTTACGGAATATCAACCTCAATGGGTTATTTAATGCCGACAATATTTTTAGGATTGGTTCGTACGAATAGAATATGCATTCTTTGGAAGAAATCTCTTTGCAGATCCTATTTCATTGATTTGTTTTTTTTTTTTGTCTTTTGTAAAGAGGGTTTTTTTTTTCGCCATTCAAATGTTTTGCTGGTAATATTTTTAAAATGTATTGCTGGTAATATAGAGATATTTTAAATATATTGTTGGTAATATTTTTTAATGCATTTCTGGTAATATTTTTTAATGTATTGCTGGTAATATTTTTTAAAATGTATAGCTGTTAAGACATTTTTCAAAAATACTGCTGGTAATTCTTTTCCAAAAATGTATTGCTGGTAATAATTTTTCTCTTTTTTATAAAAATTATTGTAGATTTTTTTCATTAAAAAAAAAATCTGTTTTTATACTTTCATAGTGTTTTGATCTCAGTTTGGGACTTAACTATTTGTCCATAATTGGGACCTTAACAGGTGCTACAACCCCAGGTCATGGTGGACTTGGGAACAACAATTAAGAATTGCTTCCACGTTCCCCAAAACCTCCCGGTCAGAGGCCTTGCTGCTCATTGTAGTTTATGATCATACCCAGGACAAACGATACTGACGACTAGCCTCACCCCCTCTTGTAAATCATACTTATTATAAAACCCAGGTTTTGTGTGTGTGTGTCTGTTCGTTTAATATATTAGATCGGATTTCCTACATTTTTCAACCAATTTCAACAAAACTTCACAGGACTACATAAAATTACATTGCGGTGGTTCTGACAGCGCCAAAATTCAGAAAAACACAATTGTTTTTGCACGAAATCAATTTGAAAACACGATTAAGAGGCATCGCTGTCGTGAGAAAGAAAGCGGGACAACTCATATCGAGTTATACTTATTATAAAACCCAGGTTGTTTGTGTGCGTGCGTGCGTGTGTGTGTGTGTTCGTTTATATATGGGATCGGATTTCCTACATTTTTCAACCGATTTCAAGAAAACTTCACTTTTTTTTGGCAGGTAGTGTTTCTTATTGTCTTGCACTTTTTTCTTTTTATTTTAGATTCAGAATGCTTTAAAAATTCCATTTACAAGACAATTGTTTATAATAAAATTCTATTCAATCGGTAGACTCATAATAATTGAAAACAATGTTTTCGTTTTTGTTTGGGTTTGACCAATTCGTAAAAAAATAAATAAATAAAACTATTTAAGACATGCGTGTCCGTCAAACTTAAACAATAATCTTTGTCAATTTTATTTTTCAGTCTTTATGATGGTCGATACTTGATCTATCTCTTACTGTTACATTCCCGGGCAACGCCGGCCTCTACTGCTAGTACATAATAACTTCAGGTGGCCTATATTGTCGAGAGAATATACATTTTTGGTTATTGTTGCCTGAAAGATTTTGAATAAAAGTTATGGCGAAAGGAAAAATAAACCAGAATCGTTGGGTCAGTGAACGGGAGGAGTTAAGTTAATTGATAGAATAGCGAAGTTCAGCTACAGCCATTTCTCCAATATTGACCATATGCCCAGTTCTTGGGCATTACACAATGAATATTTAGATCGAAGGGATGCCTACGTGCATTTTACGACTGTAAATAGTCGCTGTAAAAAATATTTCTCTTATTTTTCATATCAATGGGATTTTCTTTTGAATTGTAAATATAATTTTTTTTCTGAGAGAGAGAGAATGTTTTACTGCCTGTTATGGTTTATTTGCTTGTTTTGTTTTACGACATATCAACATCAATGGTTGATTAAATAACGACAAGATTTTTATTACTGGCAATATTTTTTCGAATAATGCATTGCCGGTAATATTTTTTCCATCAAAAAACTATTGTTGCTAATATTTTTTTCCTTCAAAAATATATTGCTGGTAATATTTTTTTCCTTCAAAAATATATTGCTGGTAATATTTTTCCCTTCAAAAATGTATTCCTGGTAATATTTTTTCTTTCAAAAATGTATTTGCTGGTAATATTTTTTCCTTCAAAATGTATTTCTGGTAATATTTTTTCCTTAAAAATGTATTCCTGGTAATATTTTTCCCTTCAAAAATTGTGTTGTTGGTAATATTTTTTCCTTCAAAATAGTATTGCTCATAATAATTTTTCTTTAAAAAAATTATTGCTGGTATTAAAACCTATTTTTGCACTTGCATAGTGTTTTGATCAGAGTTGTGACCCTAACAGGTGCTGCCACCCCGGTCAGGTTGGAACTAGGAACACTAGCAATTAAGAGGTGATTCCACGCACATGATAAGAGGTCTTGTTGTCGGATGTAGTTTATCGTCTTACTTAGGACGCGGATGTAGTTTGTCGCCATACCCAGGACGCGCTTGTTATGGTGAAAGGGAATATAAATAATAGTTGTGTCAGCAAATAAAACCAACTAAGTTAATGATTCTCCCTCTTCGATGTACTTTCAGAACGTTGGTGATCATAGCTCTCCACTACTTCCTATCTTTTGTAGGTCTTCGTATATTATGTCTAAACTCTGTTCTACCAACCATTTACACAAGCTATTTCTTTTATGTGAGGTGTCCTTTCAGAATGTGGGTGGTGATGGCCCTCCACAATTTCCGTTCTTTTGCAGCTCTAGTAAATTTGATCTTTTTGCTATCTCCTTTTTTGCTCGTTCTTCTTCTTCTATGTGCCGTATCCATTCCAGACGTGGGCGATCAAGGAATTTTCGCCGTAGAAAACTTGAGGACCTTGAGATGAACACCGGGGTGACCAAACTATATATGGTAACAGTATTCAATGCAAGGACGAATCGTTGATTTCTAGATTTGAAGGATGGACTTAGGCAAAAAAAAAAACAAAAAAAAACAACATTCTAGCGTGACAGAGAACCAACTTTCCTTGCAGTAGATGAAACTATAGATTCAACGAAGTTGGTCCCCCTCAGTGGAAAGCATGAGACAAAGAAAGTACAGAGAGACGGTCACGTGGAATTGAGCATCAGCCATTCTGATGGAAGGCAGGGAGGCTTCTCTATGTTGGGTAAATGAGAGCAGTTTCGTTTTAGCGCCATTAAAGTTTACAAGCCATTTCCTGATCCAGTCGACCACAGATTGAAAGTCTTTTTCGAGACCAACGGCCATGTTAGTTTCGTCAGCAACGCCGGATTTACTATTGATTTATTTTTAATTTTGTTTAATTTCTTTTTTATTAAATTCCTGCATAATTTTGGTCAGTTAAATTTGCTTCTGTCAGCCATATTAGATTGCGTAGGAGGGTCACATATTATCGCTTCGTAAATATTCGTTCTAAACATTACTTCGAACCATCCAAATCACCAGAGTAATGGAAATTTCATTTGTTTTGCTCCTCTTCTCATAGGAATTGGAAATTGAGTTAATCTGAAGCGCTTTTACTTGTTTCTTGAATGTTTACGAAGAATGGAAACATGGAGAATAATAGTAAAAAAAAAAGCAGCGTCTCTGCTTCTACAGCTTTCGATCAGACATATGTATTTTAACCGATGGATATTGCTATTATGGAGATTTACTTGGACTATTAAAGCATTAGGA